GAGGAATTCTGGGAGTTGAAGTCCACACATCTTAAAGTTGCCAAGGTTGAGAAACACTGATTCAACTCATCCATTTTCTGGATTCACGCAATCCATTGAACCAGAAACTAACCAAAGAGGTTAAGTTCACACAACACGCTCAACTACCAAAGATTTTAAAGGTTGAACTCAATCAAGCTTAGTCTGTTGAACGAATGCCGAGGTAGGCCTTTCACAAACCTGGAGCTAGATTTCTACCTAAAGTCTTCTACCTTTTTATGTTTTCCTCTCCTTCTAAATGGGGTTTCTAGAGGATGTCCGTTCACACAGAAAACATGAATGGGGCTTGGGTTGCTTTTGTGCTGAAAAATGGTAGAAAATATCAACTTTATCTGATATAAAAGCTCTGGTTAGGACTGTTCTTAAGGCCTGGAATGTGACACTAGCTTTGCAAATGAATGAACCTCCAAGCTATGGGATGGTGTCTTCTTTCTTCCAGCTGAACTGGCCACCTCGGTGGAGGGCTTCGAAATAGCCACGGTGGAGCAGCAGAAGGAGCAGAAGAGCTACTTCGTGCGCCTGGGATCCTTGTCGAGTAAGGTTCGCCACCGGGCCTTCCAGCACTCCCTGGCCAAGTTGAAAAGCGCCAAGCGGGGCACCCATGATGCCCTCTCCCAGCTCCACCAGACCTTAGTACTGGTAAGAAAAACCTTCTTGAGATGTTTACATCTTCTCAGGGAGCTTTGCGCGTGCTTCTTGATTGAGAAAATTCCTGCCTAACTCCCATTGGCTGACTTGCTGTGAGGTCACAGAGCAGGTATGACACATTCTTAACGCCCATTGGCTGACTTGCTGTGAGGTCACAGAGCAGGTAACACACAGCTTCTAGGCTGCAAGCTTCAGGGGTGGGATATTGACCCAACCAGCAGCATTTTCTTGGGAAAAGCAAGAGGCTGGTTGGTCAAGATGTACAAAATGTTTCAGGGTCAAAACATGTCACCCTCAAAGCGGGTCATTCCAACTTCCTGGAAATGCTTCGGTACTGTTCAAATCATTCTGGATGTGTTTTAAGCTCAAAATGGAGTGTTTTGTGCCCAGAAGCCTTCTAGAATGATCAGAATAGCATCAGAACCCTTCTGGTAAGGTTAAAACAGTGTTTTTCAAAGTTGGCCACTTTAAGATGGGTGGACTTCAACTCCCAGAA